TCGAATTATTTCTGCCATGGCGACTGCAAAAATAAAAGAGAAAAGTTGACAGTGAGGGCCGCCGCTTTCAGGAGCGGTGGGAATTACAATACATCTTCACTGGAAATCGAGGCAATTGTGTTTGTCTAATTTTTAAAGAGACGGATGCCTCAGTTAAGGATTTCAACGTAAAGAGACACTACAAAACTAAACATGCTACAACATACGACAAGCTAACAGGGAGTGACCGCACTGAAAAAGTGAAGCAACTCCGTGCTGCTCTGGCATCGCAACAGCGATTCTTCACGCGGGCCTGTGAGTCAAAGGAAAACATCACAAAAGCCAGCTACGAAGTGGCCATGTTAATAGCTAAACATGGCAAACCTTTTACTGAAGGTGCATTTATCAAAGACTGTGTCATGAAAATGGTGGAGGACATTTGCCCCGAGAAGAAGCAAGAATTTATGAATGTTTGCCTGTCACGCAACACTGTGGCATGGAGAGTTGAGGACATATCATCAGATATTCAGAGACAACTGGGGTACAGGGTGTGGCTTTTGATTATTTCTCATCAGCCTGCGATGAAAGCACCGATGCATCTGACACTGCACAACTACTTATTTTTTTTAAGGCGGAGTTGATGACAACCTGAATGTGACAGAGGAGCTGCTTGACCTCAAAAGCCTTAATGGGCAAACCAGAGGAACAGATTTTTTCGTTTCTGTTTGTGAAGCTGTTGATGATATGAAACTACCATGGAGTAAAGTTTCTGGGATCATTACCGATGGTGCACCTGCCATGGCTGGTGAGTGAAGTGGATTGTCCACACTGATCTGCAACAAAGTCAGCGAAGAAGCAGGCTCTCTGCGCCAAACATCTCAAATTTGTCGATGTTATGAAACCAGTGGCAAAGGCAATCAATTATATTCGCTCTAAAGCTCTATACCACTGACAGTTTCAGCAGTTCTTGCATGACATCCAGGCTGAATACGGTGACGTAATATATCACAACGATGTGAGGTGGCTAAGTCGGAGGTCCGCACTGCAGCGATTTTTCTCTCTCAAAGAGGAAATTGGACATTTTTTGGGTGAGAAGGGACAACCAATAGAAGAACTGTCCGATCCTGTATTGTTGGCAAATCTGGCTTTTTTGGTTGACATAACGAAGCATCTGAATGCGCTGAATGTTAATCTTCAAGGAAAAGATGCAGTGGTGAGCCAGCTATATGCTCACATCAAGGCCTTTGGAACCAAACTGCAACTTTTCCAAAGACACTTGTCCCAAACAGAGCCCTGCACCGCGCACTTCCCAGCTTTGAAAGAGGTCATTGACAGTTTCCCACATGACAACATCGGTGCGGAAATTAAGAGTTATGCAACAGCTATCGCAACTCTTTCTGTGGAATTTAACAAACGCTTTCGGGACTTTGCAGTTATTGAAAAGGACATGTTGCTTTTCTCTTTTCCCTTCTCCGTGGACCCTGATGACCAGCAGTGTTCTCTTGTTGACTTTTACCGGCAGCTGGACAAAAGCAGGTTTCCCTAAATGCGGTCATTCGCTAAGAAAATGCTGAGCTTATTCGGCTCCACATATTTGTGTGAGCAAACATTCTCAATCATGAACTTAAATAAGAACCGATTGAGGTCAAGGATGAGTGACTCCCACTTGCGTGGCATTTTACACATCTCAACCACTGCCTTCAAGCCAGACCTGGTCTCTTTACTGAAATCTATATCTCAGTATCAACCTTCTCATTAGTATCAGCAAGTTATCTGTTCCTTGATCAATCTGAAATTGAGTGTTTTGAACGCTCACATCTGTCACTATTAACAGTGAAAAGCCTAAAGCACACTAATGCACTTGGACTTATGGCACTTGTTTTATTAAACTCTTGAATAAGATTTGGTTAGAACTGTTGATGTTATGTACCTGTAGATGTGACACAAACTAATGCTTTCTGAAAGATCTTGTAAAAGCCAAGGGCAAAATTCACTCTTTTAAAAGTTTAATGATAACAGACCACTTTGCATTACTTATAACTCCTGTTAAAAATGTTCATGAGGTAAAGATATTTAACTCATGGAAATTTAAGGTATTCTATACAGTTTGTTCAATGTTATCTGACTGAATTAAAGGCAGAATTGTGTTTTTAGAGTTGTTCACGTCTGCCTGAGTGACTTATATTTGGTTACATTGTCATTTGAAAAATAAAGGTAATTGTGACAATGAAAATTGTTTTATAACAGTGTGTGTTTTCACGTAACTTTTGTGATAAAAAAATGTCGGAAGGAACTATTGGCCCCCGGGCATCTTCACTTCATCAAATTTGGCCCTCTTTGCAAAAAGTTTGGACACCCCTGGAGTACATTGATTATATTGATGTAGTTTATATTTTTTTTTTACATCGGTTTATTGTATGGTAGTAGGGTAGATGCAGTTCTTTAGCGTCAATATGCTAAATTCCTCTCTTGATATGTAAACTCAGCTTATTGAAGAGTATACTGATTATTTTATCGGTTCACTATATGGTAGTAATTATATAGTGTAGCATATGCCCAGTTGCTTAATGTTAATAGTTTAGCTTATTGGAGAGCATATTGAGTACATTGATTATATTGATGTGATTTTATATTTAGTTTTTTCACATCGGTTCATTGTATGGTAGTAGAGTAGTTGCAGTTGTTTAGCATCAATATGCTAAATTCCTCTTTTGATATGTAAACTTAGCTTATTTGAGAGTATATTGATTATAAAGATGTAGTTTATATTTTAGTTTTTTATTGGTTCACTATATGGTAGTCATTATATAGTGTAGTGTATACCCAATTACTTAATGCTAATAGCTCAGCTTATTGGAGACTATATTGAGTACATTGATTATATTGATGTAGTTTATATTTAGCTTTTTCGCATCGGTTTATTGTAGGGAAGTGGGGTAGTTGCAATTCTTTAGCGTCAATATGCTAAATTCATCTGTTGATATGTAAACTCCTTTGTCACGGCTCTCTGCTCCTCCCACCCAGCTTATAAATGTGCTGCCAAGCTTAGCAGTGGTCATTACAAAGCTGTCTTTCAGACAGCTCTGTTATTCACCTGAGGACGGATGCTTGTGTTGTGGCCGAAACGTCGTGAGAATTGTATTGTTGGATTTCTATTATTTTTTTATTTCCCTTCTACGTGACTTTACCGAAAGAACCAAGAAGATGAATCCCTGCAGTCATGAAAGCTTTAAATCGAAATTTTGTTTTCACCGTTAACAAATTAATCTGGATGTATATAATTCGGGATACAAAGGGTTAGTCAGTCAGTCTCTTTGGCTCATATTTGCAGGTTGTTTTTTCCACTGTAGTAGCGCCCAGTTACGCCACTCGGGGCTTCACACGCAACTAGCCAAGAGGCATTTTACATGCTTTTATTTAATTCACTCTGTCTGTTGTTGCCGTATCCTCAAATCTTGTAACTCAATTTTAACCCACTTCCCAATGTGGTATCGACTGCAAACTTGGTATACTTATGTCATACTGATGACAATACTATATTGTATCATAAAAAATGTAAACGATCTTTTCACATGCTTTCTATTAACTCACTGGCTGTTGTTGTTGTCGTATCCTCAAATCTTGTAACTTAATTTTAACCCACTTCCTAATGTGGTATCGACTGCAAAGTTGGTATACGTATGTCATACTGACAAGTAAACCCGTAAAAACAAAGTTTTTCACTCTAAATCCTTTATATGCGTGGCGGCTAGAGTTCTCTCGTCCTCTGGCTTGAGATGGCTGCAATCTATGGGTCAGATGATTGTCTGCCAGTATTAAGCAATTGGTAATTCAATATTTAATTAGTTTTCCCTAAACAGTGTAAAATTTTGGAAAAAAAAATTCACGAAAATTAATTGTCACACACAACGAGTCTGTGTGGAAAATGTCAGCTCGATTGGATCACGGGAAGTGGGTTAAAAAACGAGCGAAAGATTTGCTCGTTCCTAAGCAAGCAAGCGAACTTAATATAAAGGATTTAAAAATATATTTGCCTGTGGAGGACGCGGGGATCGATCCCGCGACCTTTGGCATGGGAAGCGAGGGCGCTACTAACTGCGCTACTCCACCACGGCCTGTGGAGGGGTTACACTCTGGGCTCTTGCACTGTGATGTTCAGCCAAAGCCATGAATGCGTTATATTTGAATATATGTAAAATATTTTTTTTTTGCCTAAAAAGTGTAAAATTTTGGGAATTTTTTTTCACGAACAATTATTGTCTGGCACAACGAGTCTGTGTGGAAAATGTCAGCTCGATTGGATCACGGGAAGTGGGTTAAAAAACGACCGAAAGATTTGCACGGTCCTAAGCAAGCAAGCAAGCACGCGGACTTAATATAAAGGATTTAATAACAATACTATATTCTATATAAAAAAAATATTTTTTTTACATTATTTTTTATATGTTATGTTTCGGCTTGGGTCTAATTGTCCACGCTCAACTAATGTTGGCTGTAAATCACCACGGCCCCTTACGTTATGGCAAGCTTTGCGGCCAATTCCTGGAGTCGTGGAGTTCTGACATTACGAGTACGGTACATTTCATTAAAGCGTGCTTTTTAAAAAGTTTTTTTTAAAATATTACTTATTGATGACATGTTCATGTAAAAAAGACAAAGATCCCCCGTGTAGCCTTAATAGTCTGTTTAGGCAAGTGCTGCTAACGAATAGCATCTATGAAGGCCCACACGGCACACGAGGGGGTGGGTGGCCAACATCACGCCCGACCGCCTATGTCTCCCCAGTGGCGGTGTTTACACATTGCACAACATACTCATTTGAGACTGAGTCAACCTAGGGGAGGCCCAGGACTGGTTCAGATAATCTAACTCGGGTCGCCAGGTTAGTAGCGCAGCGGGCTAACCGCTACACTATCGTACACATGCAGGCAGATATATACACACACACGTACATACACTCGTACGCGCGCGTGCACACAACCATATGTGTGTACGTTGCCGTACGATTGTAATAGCTGTACCTTGCAGGTGGGGCACACAAACTCGCAGCCTGCGCGTGTGCCTTTGTCCTGCAGGCATGCTCCACAGAAGACATGTCCGCACACCAGCAGGTAGGGGCGGCTGTTTGATGCCCCAGGCTCCACTGGGAAACGGACAAATTTAAAATCATGACAGAGGCATGGACGAAGTGCTAAGGCAGCAGCTGACGTGCAAAGACAGCGTCGGCTTTTTCACATTTTAAAGCGGCGACTCATCATCATAGCAGATTAAGGGGGCAAACTCGAGTCTGGAATTACTGTCCGTACAGGTTTTTAGTTTCAATCAAAGACTTGATTATCATTCAATCAGGTATATGATTGAATGACAACCATAGACCTTATTTTCAGTCAATCATGTTTATTATTGAATGACAATCATAGACCTGATTGTCACCCACTGTTGTAAAGATCTGCAACTACTGAACTGTAGAGGCGATCACGTGGATTTCGGAGCAACATATTTGTTCAGTTTAAGCACGTGACTTTTAATAAACATTTCCAAGAATATCAATGGATAACTCTTTTAGATTATTAATTTGGGCTTAAGGGAAAATACATGAGTTATTAATTTATGCCAAAATCTCAGGTGTTCGGTTAATCTGCAAATCAGATAAACCGCACGTGGATAAGCAAGGGTCTACTGGAATGCAAGTTTTTCCTGGGAGGGTTAGGGGTTTAAGGCTATAGGGTTTAAGTCAAGGGGTAGGGAACCCTACAGAATGCAACTTTACTTCCTATGGCATGTGGCCACATGAGGATTGTGAAGAAAAAAGACACACAAACGATGTGTCAACCACTGCAAAACATTCTTAGCTGCACCAATTGAAAACGACAAAAAAACGAACGATTTTCATTTTACCAGGTAAGGTCCACTGAGCTGTGGCTCTTTATCAAAAGCGACCTGGATATCAAAAATGATAGCTCAACGAAGTAGATTATCATGTGGAAATGTATAGCAGCCCAAATACTATAAACGCATGTTCATAAATGTGGAGGGAAAAACCAGAGGACCAGGAGAAAAGTCTTTTCGTCTATGGGGATACATGTAAACTCCAAATATACAGGCGTCAGGGTCGGGATCGAACCCACGACCTCCTGTATACCAGGCGAGATAGTTAACATCTCGAGACCATGGCGCCCCTATTGGGTGGCCAATGTTTTCCATTTGCCAAAGTGTTACCAATTTTAGCAGCCACTCGTCACTGTTGGCTGCTGTTTTTCAATCACTATAAGTGGCAACCCAGGGCTAATGCACTAAGGGAAAAGACCAACAGATAGCAGGGATGCTATAAGCATAGACATTGAGGGTCCTGGCACATGGAAGGAAGCGATGGTGTGGTGTGCAACCAACAACACAGGCTGTGATTACCTCTTGACCTTTGCAGAAGCATTCAAAGTCAACGCTTGCAAGCTGCTGGTGTCTTATATTACATTCACACGCCAGGGTGTAGCTTGAACTCACACGCCAGGGTGTAGTTTCGGAAGCAGCATCTGCAAGAGCGCGAGTTCATCCCCGCGGCGCCTGTGTTCAAGGATGACGACATCTTCACCACGTGCTCTGCTCCAGGCACGGGCAGGTTTAGGCCAGGATTACTGTTGGTACGGCTATTTTAATACAGGCAATCGACAGGAAGGACAAGATCAAAGGATTCGCATAATGCGCATGCATAATTTACATTGACTCATTAATCCCCCCCCCTTGCGCAAGAGCGCAGAAGCGTGGTCTCTATATAAAGAACGAAACCGGTGGACTTCTCCACAAATCTGGCTTTCACCTGATGATGCTAATTGTATTTACTGGCGAAATGTCGGACTCGAATTGTAAATGTTGTGGATTTACTCTCCAACACACTGGTGTGCTGTACTAGTAACGAATTGGCATGTTCTGTTTACGTGACAACCCTTACTCGTGGCGGATTTTAACGACACATTATATATTTACGCGATTTATGCATAACCCATTATATTAATACATTATTTAACCTATGAACTGCATACATTAACAGTACATCTAGCAACTAATTTACCTGGTGGTACCTGCTTGTATTGAACCAATGCTGCTTGAAAATTATACAATGGCAGATGTCGACGATTGGAAGCGTAAAACAACTATTCGGAGTTTGTCCGCTTATTTTATGACCTGCTCAGATCTTTCGGGGACTCAATTCGCTACTTTACGCTCTGAACATCAAGGGCGGCGTAAGAGTTTCTAGAGGCCAGCAGCGTCCTGTTAGTGGTCGTGTAAGCAGCATCACAGCCGTCTTTGCCTCCCAAGTCCGCACAGCAAACAGGGTAATCGTTTAAGGCCGATCTGACCTAAGGGAGGCCCCAAGAAATGGTTTAGATTCGAGTTGCCGCTGTTTCTCCCCGTCAGAAATTAAATTGCCTTCAGGCCTCTTCATGTTACGTCTCAATGAGACTCTACTATCTATGCACATGAGCTAAAGGCGCGTCTGTCTGTGAGCGCCACACCGCCTTACTCGAGACTTTAGGTGTTACTCTTGCCGTCATCTGCTCCTTTAACGGATGTAGAAAGTAAAACAAGTTGTATTGTGTTGAACTTCTTTCGACGTAGTCACCGGTGCTAATCGGAGTGTGCGGAGCAAGAACAACACTAAAACACAAAACGAACGCACGCGCATGTAGGCTGTGCTATAAACAATTACTTTTATTTTCCTATTCGGGAAATAACTATACAGTACAGAAAATTATGAACACGCGGTACACCACCAGTGGCCGTGTCGACTACCGCGTGTGCAGGCGGTGCAACTGCACGGGCCCACACGAGCCGGGAGTGGCTAAAGTGCCACGCCACGTGGAGGAGAGGGGTAATTGGCAGGCTCCATTTTTGTTTCTAGCACAAGGCCCAGAGACTCACGAGCACAGAGACCCAGAGACTCTCGCACAAAGACGCAGAGGAGACTCTTACAGATCGCCAGCGACTAGCAAAGACCCACACGAGACCAACAGACGCTGTACACGGGAGGCCCTCACACTTACGCGGCAGCGAGATCGTGAGCAGGGACGGCGCGACACCACGTGCTCAGTGCGCCAGTCACGTGCTCAGTGCGCCAGTCACGTGCGCCGAGTCACGTGGGGGCGGGCAGCCATCTTGCCTGGGGACAGTACTGCACTGTAACAGCGGGGGAGAGGTGGCGCAGCGGTTAGCGCGGTGCTACGTACGAACCCGGTGAACCGAGGTCGATTACCCGAGTGACGATTATCAGAACCGGTCCAGGGCCTCCCCGAGCTCGACTTAGCCTCAAATGAGTACCCGGTGCTATGTGTAAACATCGTCACTAGGGATACAAAGGCAGCCGGGCGTGGGGTTGGTCACCCACCCCCTCGTGTGCCGTGCCGGCCTGCATAAGTGGTCGCTAACAGCACTTGCCCAACAGTCTGGTAAGGCTATTCGAGGGGTCTTTGTGTGTGTGCGTCTGTGTAAGTGTATGAGTCTGTGTGTGCACGTGTGCTGATCTGAGTGTGTGATTGAGTCTGTATGAGTGTGGGCGTGCACGTGTGTGTGCTTGTTTGTGTGAGAGTCTGTGTGAGCGTGCACATGAGTGTGTCTTGGCCAGACTGGCTTCCCCTGCGTCCCCGCTCCCTCCCTGTGCTGCACTTCCTCTTCCTTCCGGAACCGTCGCTTTCCCCGCTGCTGTGCCTCCTTTCCACCCAGCCCCCTACAAAGCCTTCCTCATCCCCAGATGAAGGGCATCGTGGTGAGGTGGGGTGAGGGGTGGTAAGTGAATGAATGAGTGTGGCACAGTGCCGCCCTTCATAGGCGCTTCTGCTGCTACTCGCTGCTAGCTACTAACAGCACTTTCCCGTACAATCTGGTAAGGCTATATGGGGGGTCTTTGTCGCAGCGCAGCATCGACTGAAGAAGGGGAAGTCACAGAACTGACTCTGATATCATCTTCAGGTGACCTCTTTGCCACACGGCGGACATCGTATTACAGTATCCCCACACGCCCTGTATCTGGAGCGGTGGTGGTGGATGTGTTGTTGCACGTGGCTGCCTGTAACCCAGCACTGTGTGTGGAGGCAGCAGTGAGGGTTGCTGAATCACCACACAAATGTTGTGAAACTCCTTCCCCGTGGGAGCCGAGGTCGCCATCTCCTGGTCTGGCCAGGGTATGGCGGCGCAGCAAGCGGAGACATTTCCATCTCTAGCGGATTACGGTAAATGTTACCCCCTCGCACGCGTTGGTTTTCTCGGGATACAGTACTCTGCTTTCCCCCCATAGAGATGACTAAACATATACCATGCAGAAGGGCCCATTGCCTGAAACATCGCCCATGATACATTTTAATGCAGCAGCGGCATTCACTAATGTGTTCATTCTCTATTGTGTGTTATTTGGGCACCACTGTCAATGCGGTATTGACAAATAATCCCAATATAGGACTACAGAGCTTGGGAATATTGTTGGTAGCGCTGACTCTGGCTGGCTGCAACACAAACACACAACATAGAGCACCAACACATAGCATGCAGCACTAACACACAACACAACAGCACTGACGAACAAAACAACAAGTTTAACGAACAACATATAGCACTAGCTTTACTACCCGGCTTCGCCCGGGAACTTGGATTCACCACGCACGGCCGCCTTTGTCTTCCCAGTGACGATGTTCACACACCACACCAGTTACTCGTTTGAGGCTGAGTCGACCTAGGGGAGGCCCAGGTCCGGTTCAAATAATCGTCACCGGTGGTGGCCGTGAGCGGGAATCGAACTCGGGTCGCCGGGTTAGTAGCGTGGCGCGCTAAGCACGACACTACAATGCGTTACGCTTCCGTTGTAGGATTTGTGTGAGGCGCGCCGATCCGCTGTAGGGTTTTAGTGAGGCGCGCCGATCCGTTGTAGGGTTTGTGTGAGGCGTGCCGATCTGTTGTAGGGTTTTAGTGAGGCGCGCCAATCCGTTGTAGGGTTTTAGTGATGCGCGCCGATCCGTTGTAGGGTTTTAGTGAGGCGCGCCGATCCGTTGTAGGGTTTTAGTGAGGCGCGCCGATCCCCCGCGATACAATAATGCTGTGTAATCGCTATAATTTTATGATTTACCGAGCCTATAATAGTAATTGCACACATTGGGGTGGCGGGGGAGTGAAGAGGACGTGTAACTTTGATGAATTTACCTCAGAGTCGCGTGGTGGGTGTCGAGGCCTAGCACCGCGCAAAGCCTCCGGCCTCGCCTGATTTTCCCACCCGGTTGAGGCTGGGTACGGGTGCGGTCCCCCCCCCCCGCGCTACAATAATACTGTCTAATCGCTATAATTTAATAATCGACCGACCCTATAATAGTAATTGCACACATTGTGGTGGGGGGGGAGTGAAAAGGACGTGAAACTTTGATGAATTTACCTCAGAGTCGCGTGTTAATGCGTGCGCCTATTTTTAACGGGAATAAAAAATGGCGTCCACCCCGCGGCGAAGGCGTCGCTACCCGTTGCCAGGGGCAACCGCCGTCCAATGAAAGCGGCGAAGGCGTCGCTACCCGTTGCCAGGGGCAACCGCCGTCCAATGAAAGTGCGTATGGTCCGGCGACACACAGACAGACAGACAGATTCACGATTTTATATATATAGATTGACACACAACACAAGTTCAAGTTAATTTATTAGGTTTAGCCCTGTGAGCCATTCGGCTCTTGAATCGGGTGCAACCGCAACAAACAGAAAACTAAAACAAGAAAACATCTTAAAGTGACTATGTGCAAACAGAAAATCCAAGAAAAGACAGCAAAATATTGCAGAAAAAGCACCGTACACCAACAAAAATCCCATCAGTATGAACGCACACCACAAGAACACCAACGCACAACACTACTAATGCACAACACAGCCTTGCTAATACACAACATGTATGTATGTTGAAATTTGCATACCTCCAGTGGCTTCCTAATATTGGAAGGACGAGTGTTTCAGACGGCCGCAGAAGCGCATCGCGATGCAGTTACTGTCTTTGTATGATGGTTAGCCAAAACCCGCTGCGAGGATGACTCGAGTGTTCATGATGGTTTATGCTCCTTGATGAGATCAGCAAGGCATTGTGGGTCATTTGTGGTTACATTTTCGTAAGCTCTTTGTGTCCAATGAGTGGGACCTTATAATGTACTAGCGGTTAGTACCCGGCGTTGCCCGGGCGAAAAAGGCAGACACATGTAGTTACACACGCAAATCCATTGATACACACACATAGAGTTACACGCACAAATGGACTCACACATACATACATAGACTGAACAACAACAACCGCCATTCGCCACTAAGTGGCGGTGATGTCACAACAACGCTTGTGCCAGGTTATGTGCACCTTGAGGCCACGTGAAGTGTCGAACGCCCGCTGGAAAGAGGTCACGGGGCAAACCCAGATGCCACAGGTCGACTGACTGAGACGACTGGCTGATGCACCACCTGTGGCATCTACTGTGACAACTTTCTGTGCTTTAGCCACCCGGCGCTCCGCTCGTTGTTGTGAGCGTCGCTCCTCCGCCCTCCGTTGTTGTTGGAGGGTGACTGCCTCCAACTGGCCAGTAGCGTCCTTCAGGAGCCTCCTCCACAGTGGCCGATCTTGACACGGCTGGTACCAGTCATCCGCAAGTGGACTCAGCTCCAAGTCCTCCTGTAGCGCATCACTCCATGTCTTCTCTAGCACGTGCCGCACCCCTTTAGCCCCCTCGATCCAGCGGAATAAAAGCTGTTTAGGCATGCGGTGGCTGGCCATGTGGGCTACATGACTCAGGCAACACAGCTTTGCCTGCCGGAGGTCACCGATGGGACTTTGTCCACATCTTTCAAGGATTTGTGAGCTCCTCACACAATGCAGCCTGGTTAAACCCAGGATGGATCGTAGGCAGGCCAGCCTAAATGTTTCTAACCGGCGAAGATGTTCCATTAGGGGGGTCCAAGTTTCGCAAGCGTAGAGAAGGAAGGGAATGACCGTGGCCGAGAAGACCTGTAGCTTCGTACGGAGTGATAGAGCAGGTAGCTTCCACACAGCGTTACGCAGCCAATGAAAAGATACTGCAGCTCGACTGATTCGGAGTGAGACCTCTGCTGTTAAACCGGAGCCGGTCTTTAGCACATTGCCCAGGGAAACTCTCCACTGTCTCCACAACTGCCCCATCACCAATTGGGAGTTGTGGGGGTGGAGTGTCTGTGTCCGATGGTACAAAATAGCCAGGCAGGTGCTTAGCTTTGGTTGGGCTGATGGTAAGGCCCCACCTATTGGTGGCAAGCTCCAGGTTCAGCAGCAGCACCTCGAACTCCTCCTCCGAGTGAGCAGCCATTATCAGATCATCGGCATACATAACGTGGTTGAGCAACAGGGAGCCATCCCTTGACCGCACCCGGGCATCGATCAGCCTCCCATTGTATCTGTAGCAGATGGGAATTCTTCCGGTACAGGTATTGAAGGCTCGACGAACTACGTGGTCCAATGTGGGAGCCAGAGGACATCCCTGTTGCACCCCAAGGTGTAGAGGGAATGGCTCTGACTCACGGCCACGTAGTTAAGACGCGGGGCCGCTCACCATCATGAAGGTCCTTAAGTATGGTGATGAGTGGGTTCGGGACTCGGAAAGCACGAAGAGCAACCCACAGGCCAGGCCTACTGATGGTATCATAGGCCTTGAGCAGGTCAATAAAGCACACGCATGGACTAAGATGCACACATGGACCTACAGACACGCAAATACATGGAGTTACACTGACTAACATGGAGGCATGCACACACAGCGACTAACACACACGCACATGGACTGAGACACACAAACACATCGACTTACAGACACACACACTTATGGACTCACACACACATAGACATGCACTTGAGAAACGCACACATGGAGTTACACACACATATCGACGTACACACATACAGCGACACACACACATACATAGACACACACATTGCCGTACACACACATACACATGTGGACTGTCACACAGACATCCACTTGAGATATACACACATGGAGTTGCACACACATATATGGACGTACACACATACAGCGACGCACACACAC